ACTTTTAAGTTCCAACTTTTCACCCAAGTGGCTTCAGACAAAGGGTAGCCCTTCCATTGCACTAAATACTGCAAGCGACCCCTATTCAACTTAGAGTCTACAATCTTTTCCACCTCAGATTGTGGTTCCCCTCCTATCACTATAGATGGTGTTTCCCCTTCTATCTCTAAAGCAGGAGAGAAAGTTTGGGTGGATGCTCTTATGCTAGACCCATTTAGCAATAGCAGTAGTAGACTTATATACCGCTTCATAGGCCTTTCAGGCCTCTCTTTACTGGTTTCAACAAGCTGCAATGAAATTCCAGGCCAAATTTCCCTAGACTTCTGGGTAGACTGAGCTGAACTATCATCACTATAGGGAATGGACCTAGAAATTTTGGACCAAATTCCTTGCTAGGCATTCCTAATCTTAAGTATTTGGTAGACACAAAAACTTTCTACCCCACAGCTATGTGCCAACATGCCTGCTTTATTAAATTGGAACTTTAAGCATAGTTTTGCCTTTGATTCTGCTTTGCTTCTACATGGTATTTGGAACGCTGGCACATTGATTTGCAAAACTATGGGATAAAGGAATATTCCTGAACTTTGTTTTATTATTTATCTCATGGTTACTGGGAGATTGTGTGAATGCATCAATGCAGTGCATGTTACCTCATCTTGCAGAGCTTGGATTCATTGAATGAGTTTACCAAAAATGTAAATATTGCAGATTATACAGCCTCATGCTATATAACTAAGCTCTATTTCATGCTGAATAAACTAAATTATTAATGTATCTTAAATAAAAAACTATCCTTGGATAGATTTTTTTTACTCCAAAAGCATTTTATTAAATTTGTTAAAAAATAAAAAAAAAATCCGATTTAAATAAAAAATCTGTTTTTTAAAAAAATGGATTTTATCCACCCTTGTGTGTAGCAGAGATATTGTGTAAAAGAAGGGCTGTTAGAATAACAGATTTAAAAGGGAACATGGAGGTCCAACTCCTTGCTCAGAAAATCTCCTGGTCTTCAGGTTTCTGGTGCTCTGGCGCATGTATGCGTTCCGGTTTGGGCATTCAGTGCCGAAAAGGTTCGCCATCACTGTTCTATACCATTTCAGCCAAATGGTTGTACAAGCTCTTCTTTAAAAATTCCAATGTTGGAACACTCACAACCTCTGGAGGCAAGTTCTTCCACTGATTAATTGTTCTAACTGACAGGAAATTTCTCCTTAGTTTTAGGTTGCTTCTCTCCTTGATTAATTAAATTTGTTTTCTTTTCTTTTTGGCAGCTGCCCACATCTTTCTGATTCATAATGGGCTTATATTTACAGGCTATATTTACAGATATATACTTGGAACCTAGGCAGAAAAAGAATTGCTTGTGGGGAAATTTTTGTATTTCTTCAGTATTCTAAATTATCTCCCTTTGCATTTGCTTACAAGAAACATATTTTGGATTTTAGATTAATACGTTTGGATAGAGGTAGTCCTTGATTTACAACAATTTGTTCAATGACTGTTCAAAATTACAACAGCGCTGAAAAAAGTAACTTATAACCTATGACTGTCGCAGTATCCCTGTAGTCAAAACCTGGGCACTTGGCAAAGTAGCATATATTTACGACTGTTGCAGGGTGTTGAGGTCATATGATTGCCATTTACAACTTTTCCAGCCAACGTCTGACAAGCATAGTCAAGGGGAAGCCTGTGTGGTTCACTTAACAACTGAAGTGGTTCACTTAACAACTGTGGCAAAAAAGTCATTAAAATTGGTCATAATTCACTTAATAGAGACATTGCAACAGAAATTCAGGATCCAATTGTGATCATTAATTGAATACTACCTATATGGGTAATTTTAGGACTACTATTTAGCCCAAATTTTCTGTTGCGAAGCGGACAGTTACTAAGTGAGTTTTGTCCCATTTTATGACTCTCTTTGCCACAGTTGTTAAGCAAATTTATTTCGTGAATCATATGGTCATTAAGCAAATCTGGTTTCTTCTATTGACTTTGTGAGAAATTGGCTGAGATGGTTACAAATGGGGATCACATGACCCTGGAACAGTACAACTGTCATAAATGCATGCCATTTGTCAACTGCCTGAAACATGATAATCACAACCCGTGTATGCGCAGGCGCTGGGGAAGATGGCTGCCTGAGCTCGCCGCTCAGGCTCGGAGAGGGAAGAAACAAACAAAATTTGAATCCTCTGCCGACACCAGACTTACTAAAAATGAAGGCTGTGGGAGAGAGAGCCAAGTGGGTCCTGAAAAGCTGTTTACTTAAAAGAACGCTGCTCCAAACAACTCTAAGTGGCTTCGAGTGGCTCCGATCGGCTTAGAAGGGCCCTCAGGTGACACAGTCTCTTGCAGGCGGCATTCCAGCTGACGACAACTCCAGCGCCAATTTAAACCCGCCGCGGCCTCGGCTCCTTAATACGGGGCGCCGCAGAGCTGCATTGGGATGCGGTTTTCACCCACTGAATTCCATATCCTCGGAGGGGTTGGTGAGTTGGGACTGGGCGGCTGGTCTCTTTACCGCCGCCCCTGACTTCCCCCCCCCCCCCCCCACTTTCTCCATCACGGCCCTCTGCCTCTTTACCACCACCGNTTTAAAAGATTAACAGAGTTGGAAGGGACCTTATAGGTCATCTAGTCCAACCCTGCTCAAACAGGAGACCCTATACCATTTCTGACAGATAGCAGTCCAGTCTCTTCTTGAAAGTCTCAAGTGATGAAGCGCCTACAACTTCTGAAGGCAACTTCTGTTCCATGGGTTGATTGTTCTCACTGTCAGAACATTTCCTCTTATTTCTAGGTTGAATCTCTCCTTGGTCAGTTTCCATCCATTGTTCCTTGTCTGGCCTTTGGGTGCTTTGGAAAATAGCTTGACCCCTTCCTCTCTGTGGCTGCCCCTCAAATATTGGAACATTGCTATCATGTCTCCCCTGGTCCTTCCCTTCACTGGACTAGCTATGCTCAGTTCCTGTAACCATTCTTCATATGTTTTAGTCTAGTCTCCAGTCCCCTAATCATTCTGGTTGCTCTCCTCTGCACATATGGCCTCTGGATAGCAGAAACGTTACGTTTTTCTGCTTATTATAAAGAGTGGGACTTGCCGTTGGCCCATGTAGCGAAGGAAAACGGCAGAATCGGCGCCACTCGAGAGGGAACTCGGAAGCGTTCAAAAGGTGCTACTCTTCAAAGAGATGGACGTCTATAAGGCGTTCGGTAGCAGGGTGGGATAAAGCACCGCATGCCCAGAACGGCCGGTAGTCGCTTCCGCAAGAGGAGGGGCCGAATTGAGAGTGCTTCGGAGTCCTACTTCCGTGAAGGGTTTGATTGCCATGGAGGAGGCTCAGCCTGTTTGTAGCTTCCTCTTCAAAAAGCGTCGTTCCGCGCCTGGGAGGGCTCAACGTAAGAGGCCGAGCAGCGACCAGGACTCCGGTGAGAAGCCACAGCCCGTTGCTGCTCTCAGTCTCCAAATGTATTTGCGGCGGGATGGTAACACGGCGGGTGGGACGCGGTCAGCTTGTGCCCTGAAATCTCACGCTCCTGAACCAATAGAGTAAGAGGTTATGTCGCTTTGGGGATAAGAGTGGCTGTGAGCCCCGAGTTGCCTCGCCTTTTCCATGACAACCTGGAACACATGTCTCTTTCACAGAAAAAGAAGCAGCTTCCCCGCTGGATTTTCTTGCCAAGAGTGTAGCTAGTCCTACAATGTGTAAACATGTACTTTTCTTTCATCCCTGCCATTGCGCATTTATTACTCATTTTTCATTTCATTTTCCTTTATTTGTATGCCGCCCTTTTCCCTGGGGGGGACTCAGGGCGGCTCACAATTCAAAAAGGGAGGGGGGAACTCGATGAGTAATGTTAAGAGTGGATTCCGTGGGGAATATTGTCAGGATTAGTTATCCCAAGCCTTAGCAGTTACTTTTAAACTTTTAAAAATTAAACTACTTAACTTTTAAAATTAAGTAAATTAATAAAATATACCATAGTTTTAACTATGCTCCATGTGGAAATGTGCGTTCTCATTTGTCTTAAATTGCTCTAAAAAAAGTGAACAATTATTATTTGAAGGAGAGATAACCTTGCTTGTCTTTTATGAGAACAGAGCAAAAGTACAATCTCCAGTATTGGGAAAAAATTGCTTGGCTTTGTTTATAATAATTTGAATGTTATAATTCAATTTAATGTTTTTTTGACTAAGAATGAGTTTGGAATCTAGAGAGGCAGCTGCACTCTGTAGTGTTCACTGCTAAATGTATAATTTTCCAACACTGTACAATTTCCATCTGCTTAAAGGTAGCAGTGGTGATGAAGGCAGCACTGTAATCAGGAAGGAGAGACGAAAGGAAGTTTCCAACCCCATGATTCAGAAGGTGATGTATACTGTATATCAATTTTCTCAAGTACATATGTACTCAGGAGGTCACTGTGCCTCAGATAGGCAGGTGTGAGTCCCTTTTTGTGAAATGGGGCCTTGGAGTTCAGGTGGGCC